TTTATGAGCGTGGAGCTGCTGCTAATGAGCTTGGCAAGCTTTTTGAGGCAAGCACGGTTGAGCTTTCCGAGAATTTCAGAAATGCCAACATGGCCTACATTGCCGAGGAGGCAAAAGTCCGGACGATTGGACATGAGAAAGTTCGCGCCGTCAGGTTGACCGAGACCATAAAGGATGCGATTCCCCATGATCCGCGTCCGGATTGGGGGCTTGTTGCGTTCCTTGAGAAAGAAATTGTTTATGCAATTGGCTCCATGCGTGAGTTCGATCGGAACAACTTCCCGAGAAGTTTCAAGGCGCCCACTCAGTACAAAGAGGCTACCATTCTCCCTACTTGGGAAAGATATGGAGCGCCTGCCATCCTGCCGCTTAGGGATTTCTTGGAAGGACTGGAAAACCAAGGAAAATGCGTATCAAATGATTGCTGGCGTGAGGTTGGTATTTGAATACGGCAGCATGCCATACGGTGTATTCCGAAAATTTGCCATGGATGACGAGTCGGCATTTGCTAAGTTTGCCCGAGGACAAGGACCACATGCCGTGTATGTGGACGCAAACTTCCCAAAGTGGGGCTGGGGCGTGTGTTCCGCTCACAATTGGGCAAAGTACTCTCAGACAGGCGTGATAGAGATGGAAAAATGGCAGAACCATCAGGTGCTGTTTCCATTTCCCCCGCTTGATGGGAGGAATACCGACTTCATTGCTGCGTACATGGACAAGCTCCGAGACAACATCCGTGTTATGACAGACATTCGCGAGGACTTGCTTCCCCCCGGTCTTCCGACTGAGCGGTTTGTTGTGTACATGGTGGACTTGCATGCTATTGCAAATGAAGTGCAGCCCGTGTACTATCATGGAGCAGGATTCTTTGCCGTGAAAAAAATGTTTACATTCCCGCACATTGCACTTGCGTATTTCATGGACTCCGGGTCAGTGGTGTACAATGCTGGCATCACCTATCATGGTGGTCCGGGAATCGCTACTGGGTACCGAGATGATAGGAAAGATTTTGCGCGGAATGTCAAGAGGAGTAGCATTGCGATGTGCTCGTTTTGTGCTTCACCTCTGGTTGTCGGATCACACTGCTGCTTTGATTGTGCGAGGCCAATCTACTACCCTGATGGCTTCTTTAGTCACAGTCAGTCAGAGAATCACCCAACAGACCCGTTGACATTCAGTATTCCCGAGTTTGCGAGAAAGGGTGCTCCGTTGAATTGGGAGCTTGTTGATCCCGTGAAATTTGCTCCGTTCCGGAACTTCACAGCATCGAGATCGCTCGCCGAAGAGCACCGCAAGATCACATTCTTCGGTGTACCCGCGACTAAGTCCAGTGACCATAAGCTCACTGCGGAGGCCAAGAAGCGGTTCAAGCACAATGTCAAGGGGGCTCTTGTTGGTGCTGTGAGATTTGACCTTTCAATTGAGAGATTGGTTGCCAAGCTCAATGGAAAAGAGTCAACTGTTACTGTCGGTGAGTTCTTCAAGGCAAATGGGGATTTCCGCCGATATTATGCGTCGCTGTTCCTAAATTGCCGAGACAAACCGTTGTCGAGTTATGTCTTCTATTCCGAGCATTGCAGGAAGGCATACCTTGAAGCCCTGTCACTGCAGTGGCCAAAGCGTTGGAGGTCTTTCGTGCGAAAATGGCTGCCGGACCAAGCGAGAAAGTCACCCGAGTCTTTCTCATGAATCCCGAGGAACTTTCGAAGTGGTTGAGAAAGACCGCGTTCACTTTCTGTTATGAAGTTCCTGAGTCTTCGGAAGGTCTTGAAACCGAGATCAGAACCGTTTTGATGGAGGTTGACGATCGGACCGAGGACAAGTGGGATGACCTGGATCCTGTTGGAACTGTCAACTTGACTCCGGCCCAACGATTTGGACCCAACTTGGGCGGAGAGGACGTCACCGTGTCTCTGCCAGTGTCCGAGGAAGAGATCAACCGCGAACGCAAGACTGCAGAGAGGTCCGTGACCCTTTCCGAGAAGTCTGAGTCGATTAGGGCTGCTGAAAAGGCAAAGAAGGAACAGGCCACGAAGAAACCCAAGTTTGAGTTTCCAAAGATTTACACACAGCAGGATGTGCTTGCTCGATCCACCCGTGGGGATGCCTCAGTTGCCCGTGCGCCCGGGAAGTCATTGCCTGTTGTGCCTCCGACTGATATTGAGATGGCGAAAGCTGTCGAAGCTCGGATTCCTGATGAGGAGGAGGACATGCAGGGAGACACCAATACCGAGGCACCGGCACCGTCCATTGACTCTACCGTGAAGTCCGAGGAGATTGTCATGGGTCGTGTTCCCGAGAAAAGAAAGCTTGGTGACAGATTTTTCCGTGCAAGTGTCGTTAGTTCGCAGGTCTCGTCAACACTGGATACTCAGGCGGAGGAACAGTTGCGTCGAGAAGAGATTGGTCGCAACCCTGATGCTGCATCATCTGGTCACAGACGACCCCCCTCAGGATGCCCGTGGTCCCCAGCGACGAGTTCTGCCTCCGCCACCACCTCCGGGAGGAGTGGAGAGAGACCGATCTGGCGACCCTGGATACACTGCAGGATGAGACTGGAGCGTCGTGAACCCTCAGCTGGTATCGTGGACCTGCCTGCGCCACCGCCTGTGCCAGACGCGCCTGAGCCACCCGAGTTCGCTATCTGGGCCGAGCAGCAGAGAAGAGACCGAGAGAAAGGCAGAAAGGGCGATGGAAAAGGCAAAACTGGTGGAAAGGGCAAGAAGGGACGAGGCGACGGAGGCAAAGGAGGAGATGGACGAGATCGCGCACGAACACCTCCGACGCGCTGAGCTGCTGCGCCATGGTGCCGAGTGCGCTGAGCCATGGCCGCCTCCGCGTAGCCATGGGCTGATCGGATGATTCCTCTTGCCGCCTCCTGGAGCTGAAGTGAGAAAATGAGGCTTGTAAATACCCGCGTTTTGTCCGTGTTCACCGTGCTTGTGCCGTGTCTCTTACCGTGTCATGTTTTTCACTGATGTCGTGATCAGGGCGACGAGCTTAGGTGTAGTACCGTGTCAGCCTTCACGTGCAAACATCTGACTCTCTCGGATAGCGATGGATCCCCTTATACGACCTTCTAAGATTGGCTGGGTGTCTTTCCACGCTATTCCGGGACACAGGGCGAGCCTACGGTATCATGACCTCTTAACTCCGCTCCTATCTTGACTCGCGTCGAGGGGGGTGTGAATTGTCATGTATACCTTG